TTTGTATGTGAAGATGAGTCATTCAAGTCGGAGTAGGGGAGGAAGCGGAGGTTGTTCTCACCGAATCCTTTCACATCAATGAACGAGCCGGCATAGATTTTATGGAGCTAGGTTGTATTGACCTGTGGCTGACATCTACCTTTTAGTTTCATAACATAATCAGCTCTTGACACATGATTATAATAACCCAATGCAATTTACTGCATTCTCTGCAAACACATTGATTTTTTTTTTTGAACAGCTCCCAGAACCAATTACATTAATATTGCTGCATAATTAGTTTACACATTACTAAATTACTGACAGATTAAAAGTGAAATAGCACAGTTCATACCCTGCCCACATAACTGCCAGAGAGGAAATTAATATGGATTCAAAAGGTCCTCAGAGACGAAAGCAGTAAAAGGGAAAAAAGCAACAATCTATAAGGGATGCTTATAGCCATGCTTGCATAAGGATATCCTCTCTGCACGCTTGCCAGGTGTTCGTTTCAACTGAGGCATTCAGGCCTAAGTAATTAATATGATCTTTAATGATATTTGCATATCAACATCAATAGTCCCTGATCGCACAAGAAGGGTCAGTTTAGAGCTCTGTCGGTAAGACTACTGTGACTGCCCATGATTATAGTCTTAATATCAAAGACCTATTGAAGGAAGTCTCAGATATGGTCTGCAATACTTCCATTTCTTACAGTATTCTTTGTACATACCAGCACCAGTGGTTTGTGTGGTTGAATGTTTTGGGAGTATGGGACCAAGTCTCTCTCAACAGGGAATCCATCTTGACAGGCTTAAAGATACCTGCCAGTAACTGATCTTCTAGTTAGTAGTAAAGTTGGTTTGGATCAATCAGCATTTTGTAATGACCAATTATAATTATTTGTGCATGTTTTAGGTATCACAATAACTAAATGGTTGATCCAGTTACCAATTTCATGTACAAATTCTCCTTATAAAGATGGGGTCAGGTTAGAAGAAATGAATTCGCATGACTGTAAATGAAAAGAAAATGCAGAAACTACATAAAACATCAACTTTGTAAATACCTTCCTTCATCTTTATTGCACCTCATTTCCAGTCTTTAGGCTGTTGGTGGCTGGCAAATGGGCTGCTTGATGGCACACTAACTTTTCAGCAGGAATGTATTGCCTTGACCTTTGATGTCCACATTGATCCAATGTACTGAGTGGCCGTTTCCTCAGAAACAAACATATATAATAGGTATTGGGTTCCAATGGTGCTCTTTCAATGTCTTAGGGATGCTTTGCAGCAATATAAATCAATTCACACTTATAGACACAATATGGGTGCATTAGTGCTGACTAGTGATTTGAGAATGGCTGAGAGGTAAAAATTCAATAGACCTTGATCAGGCACAACCAATCTATCCTCATCAGTCCTCAGTTTCTAATTGTACACAGATGCTTAAGATGGCAATCATAAAGAATTGTATTTTCAGAGATTTTCATTTTATTTTATTGCTTGGTTAATTTGTAAAAACCATAACAACAACAACAACGAAACACATACAGGAAGAGTACTTATAATCAGGTGCCCTGATTATTAATATTAAATATTTAGTTCACCATGTTTAACACCTTGTTATAAATGATGTCGTTTGTGCTCAGGTGTTTGCTGAAAATAAATTGGTTCATAAATGACTGGGTTAGGTTATGTATGCTAAAACAGAAACTGAGAACATATGGTTGAAGAAATTTGCAGTCTCATTCCATATGCGGTAAACAGCAGTTCTAAGATTTGTGCTTCCATGTTTAATGACTCTGTAAGGTCTTACCTGTACAGTTTGTGATAAATATTGGATTGCAAGACTGAAGCTTTGTTACCTAAAATACTCTGTTTTGCTTTCCTGCTTGTGTGGGAGTGTTATGTTGAACCACTGTATATTAAGATCCAGCCACCTCCTGCGTCAATGCCTCTGACAGCTTTTGTCTATTTATTGTCTCGTAAATTCTCTCTCTCAGTGTGTCACTAATACAAACATTGCTTGAACAACAGGTCAACCCAAATCTCAGCACTGGACACTGCACCAGGAGAAAAATGAATTTGATTAATACATTTATATAATTTTCCTTATTCTTCTCAATAATATTCATCCTCTTCATTTTCCTAACATCTCTCCAGTCCATCTGTCTCGTTGGTTTACATATGAATCTTTGAAGTTGGCGGAATAGACTCAGAGGAAAGGCTATAATTTTCCTTGTTCTTTGGCTGTAGTGTAGTTCTTTGGCTTTGGTGAAGTTCTTTAGTTGTGTTGTATGAGTTGGTTTACCGAGGAGGACTACAATAGAATGTTTCAGTGCGGAAGGCCACTTTTAAGGCAGGCAAGATTACTTTTATACAGTTTAATTTTGATTCGTCTAATGGATGGATAGAAATATATATTGTGCAGTACCGCATATATTCCATTGGTGAGGCCCTTTAGCAGTGAAAGTTGTCACTCTTGTCCATTTTCTGCCATTTTTTTTGTTTTGCTTTTGTTTTTTAACATTTAACATGGATAACACATAAATACATATTTTAATAATAAAGTTAAAAAAAAAGGCTAAATTGCACTTGTTGTTTGTCAGTTTTATTTGAGGGAAGAATAGGGCTCTGAGTCCAGTGTTCAGGGTAACGTGGCTTTTATTACTCAGTGCTGAGCAGAGTGGGCGCTAGATGTTACCTGTCCACTGTGCAGCCCAGCTGTTTACTCAGCTGTAGGGCCTCTGTCTCCAGTGTAAGGGCAAAAGGAGCAGGTCACTAAATATTTCATTTCCCAAGTAAAACATGCTTGCCCTTGTCAGGTGAAAAAAAGAGAGAGAGAAACATATCACAGTGATGAATGTGCAATCAGGCTGATTAACTCATTATTAGTTGTCCAAAGGATCCACTGAAGGAAATGAGGGCAAGAATGAAATAGGTTGTTTATATGTCTCGTAGTCAGAGCTATGGATGTGATGTGAGGAAGAGGCCTCCATGAACTTTTACCTCTTCTAGTTAGTGATGGGAAGTTAAATTATGTCTCTCAGTCATGGTGTTTCTTCCCTCTATTAGGGTCTTGCGTTTTCCCGTCATATTTTTTTGTCATTTAAAGTACAAACCACTAGCAGTAATACATATGGACTCTAAATTAAAATTGGGAAAAAATTCCCTCGCCGAGGACTCATCTTTCTGTCGGCTTCTGCCATAACTTTATCCTTATCCCTTCTCTTATTTTCTTGGCTCTTTTTTTTACCAGCAGATGGTGCTGCAATCTCTTCGCACTGCATCTACACACACTGACGCTCTCCCGATCTTCCACAGACCCGCACCACACTTTTAGAAAGGCAAGGGGGTGGTGTATGGGGGGAGTCCAGCCTAGTTCCTGAGTTTAGGCAAATGTTTGTTGAAATAAGTGGAGATTTCCTGGTTTTCTTTTTGGAGGAAAAAAAAGGAAAGAAACAAAGTTTCTTTATAGGATGAGCTCAGGGTGTTTTGCAATTACCCTTACTTGTGCTTGAGCTCTTTTTTCCCCTTGTTGAGTAGGAACAGACAATGTTTTCCATTCCAGTTTCTTCTTACAGTTGCAGAGTGGGTGCCGATGGGCGCAGTGTTGTGGCTTTTACTGGTGAGCCAAATATCACAGCTAGAATGGATGGTGGAAGGCATTATGGACGTAAGTAAGAGCAGCACTAACGTTTGCCTTTATACGTGGACTGAGAGGGTGGTGAGAGATTTCTTCTAAATAGGTTAATAATTAACCTTCTGAGCATCTGCCAGGCCTGTGATGTTGTTGTTTTTTTTTGTTGTTTTTTTCCATTGAAGAATTTGTCAATATCATAGCTGAATATATTTAAAGTATTTAATTTATTCTTCCTTTTTTTTAATCCTGTGCTTGTTTTAGTTATTTCTATGATTATTATTCAACCACTATTTTTTGTAGAACACCTGTGACTTGTCACACGGACAACATTTGCTTTTCACACCATTAGGAGAGGTGTAGACTGACCAGGAGAAGAGAGGTGTGTATACGCGAGTGTGTGTGTGTGTGTGTGTGCATACGTGTGTGTGCAGTGAGTTTGGGGGGCAGAGGTGGGGGACTGTAAAGTGTAAGCTATTGAAAGGAGGAATGTGAGAGAGCATTATTGCCCGCACTTCATGTGAATGGAAAAGGGGTTAAAGAAATGACAGCGTACAGTGGGTGGTAGGGCCTCAGTGCAGCCTGGGAGGAAATGGAATGAGAAAGTGCAGTCAGGCAAACCACTCATTCACCATGACAAATGGGAGAGGCCTAGGCCAAGGGGATACCTGATACCCCACGGTGGGCTCTGTGCACCTGCCTGGGCTCCATGTGCACCAAAGTGGAAATAAAGCTCAGTCACTTGTAGCAGCACACCTCCACTGTTTACAGAATTAGATAATAATAAAAGTTATACTGAGAATAATATAATTTATATCAACAATTCATGCAAATCAGATATGATTTCAGTTTAAGGCTGTGATTTTTATTATTTATTCTGTATAGTTAGTTACATGAATTACTATTCATGCCGTTGTGAATAATAATAGGAATAATATTATAGACAGCATGTGATGAACTAAAAATACATTTCACAATAAGCCAAATTATCATAAAGTGTTTCATAAAGTCCTTTTTTCAAATTAATTTAAAATATCTTGTGCGTTTGAAATGAACTGTACTAAAATTATTAACAAACAAAACAAATTTACTCATCAAATTAGTTGTACATTTTGATAATAAGACAAAAAATGTCTGAAATACTCTTCACATCATCATCAACAATCTATTTCACAGTGGAAACGTGGTTTATTTCTTCTGTTGTTCTTCTCATGTTTCCATAGTTTCGGACTAGCTGTATTGATACAACATTGAGTACATAAAAACAATAATTATGAAGGAATATGAAGACGTCTAGTCTAGTAGTTTGTTAGGTTAATTTTTACTTCAGAATGTGCAAACTGAAGTTTTCGGTTTAGTTATAGTTACACACTTTTGAATATATTTTTTATATATTTCAGTATATGGGCCCATAAATTGTTAAAAAAAAATATCAGATTGAAATTATGAGCCGAAAAAGTCAAAAATCAACCAAATCCTCATCCAAAAGCATTAATATAGTTTCAAGGAGTTAATGAGTTTTTCAACTGGAATGTCACAAGTTGCATGTCATGAGGTTCTAAATTAGGGCATATATCAAATTTCAGAGGAATATTAAATCTTTGAGACCTGTTCAGAATTAGAGGAATACTGCTATAATCCAATTGTGTATGAGGACAGAGCAAGACAGATACTTATACAGCGCAGAAGCAGTCTTCTGTTTAGAAGTGGTACAGAAAGTGTAGTCTGCCTCAGAGCTGCTGCTTTTCCTAGAGCGTCCAGGAAGGATTACTGACCATTCCCTATGCAGAGAGATGAGCTGTGGTCACTCCAACAGCAGTCAGTCTACAGCGTCAGGGTGCAATGCAGCATGCTATGAAAATACTCAATCTTGTCTCCCACTTCAGTGTTTAGATTGGGCTGTGAAATGACTGCAGGCTGACAGGAGTAGGACTCGGGGAGGAGGATAATAATTTTATTTCTTTCTCTCTTTTTTCTCCAACCAAACATGAATCATTTGATAAGTTTAAAAATATCTCATCTGCCAAAAAAAGAGAAAACATTATAAAATATTTCTTTAAACATTTGGGGCAAAGACTGAACAACTGTTTTCTATTTCAAACTACACTTATCACACACAAACCGTTGCAAATGAACAGTGAAGAACAGCAGAATATTTGTCATGCGTTTTCACTTGTTTTAGTTAATGCGATCACTGGCTAAGCTATGTAAATTGTAAGTGAGCTTAACCATTAACGTACTGTAAAGCATCAGTTTTGTTACTATGGTTACTTGTAGGCAAATAACAGGCTAAAATCTAATGACCACAGATGATGTGGCTCAACGACTGAACTGTTTTCTACTGTATTTTTAACTGAAAGTAACTAAAGTTCTTTTTTAACAATCGCCATAATTGAAATGTTATAACAATATATAAAACAGTAATAACTTAATGAGTTAATGCAGCTCTTGATAGTAACCTTCTCAGTGTGTTTTGGAAATTGTTTGGTCAGCTTCTTGGTCAGTGTTTTAATATGAGTACATTAAGTTATGTCTGTCAGTATTTCCAACAGCCGCAGCACAGAACAGGAAGAGCACAATTCATCAGCTTCAGTAAATATACCTTCCTCGTGTAAGAGGTAGAAGAAAAACATGGTTGTGATTATTTATTTTTCGTTTCAGCTTCCTTCCCTTTAACATCAAGGTGCTACCTCAGAATGCTGCGGTGTTTTTTGTTTAAAAAACGAGGCTGTGTGTATTTTTTCTTTATAATTTCAATATATTTGTAAGCGTCTTTGCTAACTTTAAAGCTTTTCTGTGTCCCGGGATTGTTACGACTCTTCCAGCACACCGACTCATCAGTAAATAGTGTTCTACCAGATTTAAGCTTTCTCATCTGTGTGTTAGAGCTCCTTGTGTATGCGTGACTTTCCTTAGATCACTGTCCTCCACAGCCAGACATTCATATGATGTTGGTTTAAGAATACTCTTACAGTGGTTTTCAACGTGTTTGCGATTTTAAAAAATATATACTTTGTTTTCTTTTGGTTATGCATAGCCTCGCTATTTTAGTAATATTTTGTATTTATATGCATTTACCATAAAGCTAGCAGTGAGCATGTTTTTTATTCCTGTGCAAAGCATCTGGGTTAATCTCATATTAGTCAAGAAGGATCATTCTCACAAACAGTCTTAGACTTGTTTCACAGAACTATGCTCTAAATTAAATGCACGGCGTCAGTGGATTAGTGTGTATCGCTTTAGAAATCCAGTAATAAGAAGAAGCTAAAAATTAATTGCTGTTTTGTTTTCTTTCTTTTTGAAAAAAATATTAACATGCTTGAAAAAAGCACTGCAAAGCGCGCTGAATTCCTAGATTTCACAGCTTGTACGATTGCATGCAGAACATTTGATTGATGACTATGGCAGCTTTTACAATTCATCGTCATACAATTTGTGTGTTATTTAATTTTTAATTTCAAATTTTCACCGGAGAGTTTATGCTATTAAACTTAACATTTCGATTTTACAACCCTCACTTTGTGCTCTAAAAGTTTGCCATGGCTCGTCTTGTCTCCTGCTATTTACTTTCTATATATAGAGTGCTGATGTTATTTGGTGTGTCCTGTGGTTCGTATTATTCAGCTAGACATTCCTCCCCCGATCACATACGGCGCATCTTGTAGTTCCACTGTTTTACTTTCATACAGACATGTATTTATTTGAGGAGGAGCAGCGGGTAGCAGGGACATCTGTTGCATTAATGTTCAACAGAATAAACAATATGTTTTGAATTACTGTAAGAATTGACCTTAGAATAAGCCTTATCTTATGTATAAATCATAGTAAGTTCAATATGCTTTGTAAGTAGATTAGTTCATCTGGAGTCCCCCTCCCTCTTCCCCATAGACAGAGTGTCTCAGCAATGAGGGCCTAGAGATGTAATCCAGATTCATAATCCAATGATTCTTACAAGCTGTTTTGTGTTGTTAAATACTGGGTATTTGTGTTGATTTAATATCATTCTAATCTTCTTTAAACTGCCAGTTGCTGTCTGGTTCATCGCCATCTTGTTTATTGCTTGCTCTCTAGACTTGACTGTAGGCTGGAAAGTCAAATCGGATGAGGCCAGTGGACTTCGGGGATGGTGCTGAATAACCGATGTGTTCGCTGATGAGGATTTTGACCATTTTCAAAAATAAAAACATTTTCAAATAATATTTATTTTTGTTTCTTTCAGAAAGTCTTGTGTGAACATCTTCTATTTGTATTTAGTGGCAGTAATTTCTCCAGCCTGAAAGATTTCCTCTTGTTTCTTTCAAACCCTAATGTTTTTAAAAGAGCAGCAACTTCATTTTCATTTCCCCGTCACAACACGGTATTTAATAATTAGAATTCCTTAGAAAAGCTTAATTAAATTAAAAATATAAATATGTATGGGAAAAATACTTTCTAAAATTTGACATTCACATTATTTTAATTTAACTGGATAATGTAAAAAAAATATATAAATTATTATTATCATTTTACTTACATAAAAAAATTTTAAAGCATGAAGGTTAACAGGTGGAACTTTCATGTGTGTTTTGTTTTTGTGGCATTAAACATAATGTGAATATAAAACTTATTACACGGTATAACATAGCTTGTTGACTTCAGTCCAACAGGTGGTTCGGAGAATTTCAAATAATAGGTGCTTACTGTCAGCAGCCTTTTGAAGTAATCGAGTTCTTATAACGCTTAGTCTGATTATAGTCCATGATATTGTTATTTAGTTTTATTGTACATGTAAGTGGATTCTACTCCCACAAGGTTTTCTCAGCGCTCTGACTTGCATGTCCAATATTATTAGTTGCTATGAGTTCAGCCTGCGCAAATCTGTTAATGCATAAGACCATAAGAGCTTCTTATGTTCCAAGCCAGGTCAGAGTGAAGACACATCAGATTAATATTTGATCATGCAGAAGGGCCCTTAATCAGATTTGCTTATTCCCTTAGCTGAGTGCTCTGCAGCAATTATCATAATTGTTGCGCTAAACATGCTTGTCTTTACGGCTAGCGGTTGGACGTGAGCGTATGCTGTGAGAGGGGGATTCCAGTACCAAACCCAATTAGTGCAGGATGGATGGATGGGCATGCCGAGGGAGATGGAGGATATAGAGAAGAGGAAGGGGAGGGCCATGGGCAGGGATGCTGGTCCAACTCACAGTGACATAGCCCAGGGCAGCACAGTTAACTCCAGCCACCTGGAGCTCTTCAGGACAGGCTCTCCCCATGCTGTAATCTGCCCTCAGCCATGCCACCAGCGCCTGCTGATACGAGGGAAATTAGAGATGCACCAGGAAAATGGCAATTTCAGTCTACAAGTGTCTATTCAGTTGCAAAACTCAAAGATTTTCTGTGCCAATAGAGTTCTCAAACTTCATAGTATTTTCTTTTTCCACAAACAGAAGTCATATTAATAATCATATAATGCTGAAAGTGTGTATAATAAACCAGGGGAATATAGGCTTTAGTTTGCATTTGAGGAAATACCAGTACCCGTCTGCTTATTAGGACCCAAGAGGCTCATTCAGTTACCTGTATAAGTTTATGCTGAATTACTGAAAATGTATACAGAAACATATGTGATAGCAAGATGTAGATATACAGTAACATTCATAGATATTGCTCTTTTATTTGGATTATCTATCAAAATACATTAAGAACAATGTGACCAGATTTCCAGTAACTTTTCTGAGATATGTGGTTTATGCAACACTGATGGAAGCAACTACATTGATATTCATGTAAATATATGAAGGATTTCTTTGTAATTTAAGTAAAAACAATAAATTAAAGAGTAAAAAAACAAAAACAAAATTTTGATGACTATGTTAACTAGACAACATATTTTTGAATAATAAGTATATGGAACCTACTACCTGAAGCTGAATGAAAAGTGGTTTGTAAAGGAATTGATGCAACTTTGTTAAATGTTTTACAACATGTAGTTTTATAAAACTCCCTGCATTTATTTTTGCTTCAAAATGAATACCTCATAAAATGATCACAACAACGTTCAAAGTATTTACAGAATATATTTCTTTGGTGGTATTTCTGAGGTTTTGCTGAATGTGTAAAGATAATAACCTTTTCGATGGAAGACGTTTGTGACTCAAATCCTGTTCTCGTTTTAAGCAAAACCAATAAAAAAATACCAAAGCAGAACTCTGCTCTGTGTCATTTTGATTGCTGTTTCCTGAATATTCTGTCAACCCACCGAATTGTCATAAATGTGTCTGTTAAATGAATGAGCCCGTGGACCAGTTCTGTCTGTATGAAAGTCATCTATCCTGCTGGAGGCATGGCACTGCACAAAGAAACACTAGGAGAGATGGTCCCCCATTAATCTATGTTGACTGGGTGGAAATTGCATCTTTGTAATGAGTATTAGGTGTGCATCTACATGAATTAAAGCTGAATGAGCCCCTGATTGATCACCTCGTCCCAAATGACGCTGCTTCCATGATCATTATTGTTTAAAAGTGACTAAATCATATCGGGATGATTAAAAGTCTCTGCTCAGAGGGGAGGGGAGATAAAGTAAAGGCACAATGTCTGAGAAATTGCGCTTTCATCCCCGAATTCTGTTTATATAGTTGTGGTTATTTCTGCTAAAGTTCTGGTTGTATTGTCAGAAAGGAGCATGCAACTGAAATAAAGTCAAAGGATTTAAAAAGTAGAGGAAGGAAATTTGACAGACATTGTTTATGTGGGATTTCAGGACACTACACTACTGATATTTAAACAGTTGTAGCTCAAACTGTCATAAGAGAGGGCCTTGATAAATGTCAGTGGGAATTATTTATTATGACATGACTATTTATATTAAGTCAGACAATCCACACCAGCTGCAGTTTAGTACCTCGATCACTCCGTATAACAATGATAATAATACAGTACAGACTTGACTGGACCATAAGAAAGGACTGACCCACATCTGCAAGAAGTGTTCATGTAACAACCTTCTTCTCATTTCAGATGTCACACATTTAGCTTTAATGGGATGATATTATTTTTTTTCTGCAACCTGACCACATAAAAGATCTGCGAAGGTGAAAAGAGTGCAAAGGCAATGTTTGAAGTCGGGGCCAAAAAGTCCAGGTGTTTTTACAGGCATTGTGGCATTTATGTGATCTAAACTATATGTCTGGAGTCGCCTACACAAAAGTGCTAGACATCCCTGCCAGGTATTCACTTACTTCATAAAGAACATTCAACTGTGGGCAGCTGATTTGCTGGAGTTTGGGTCTCAGCCATAAAATCTTGACTGTTTGGACTCCCACTTGACTCTGGCATTTTGTAGAAAAAAGGGCCCCACACATTCAGCAACAGGAGAGACCACATTGAGAATTGAAATGTTCACACGCATTCTGCACTTTTACATTTTGTCATTTTTACATTTGATACATTTACAGGGAACCTGTTATTGTCGTAAGTATAATGAAACTCGGATTTTTGTTTGGCAAATGTGTGAAAATAACAGCTTTTTTGGAAAAAGCCTCCTTAAGATAAAAAAGCAGACCTTGTCACCTTCTATCGTGACATATTTACTGTACCTGGACACACTAATGTTCCTCTGTAATGTCTTTCTGGTAATTATGCTGCCAAGCACCCTGTTGGGGTAATTATACTAAAAACACCCTCATTAGCAGCATCAAGATGTAAACCCCCAGAAGCCTCACTATCTTTCCCCTTGTGCACCCTTGGAAAGCAAGTTATTGGTCCAACTCCACTTCATTCTTAACTTTCTGCTTGTTGCAGTACATAGCAGGATCATATCGCTGCTTTTCACCCTGGTTGCACTGCATATGTTGTATTGAAACTGCACCATGGCCATGAATCGTGTTTCTTCACTAGCTGCAAGTAATACTGTCCTATGGTGTTCATTAAACTGGTCTAAAAGGCATGGACAGCCTGATTTTCTCACAAGGTTGTTGTGGCTGTGTAGCAATTGGTTTAAATGAAGAATGCTTCCAAAGCTTACACACAAGCACGTCAGAGCTGTTTTCAATAATGTGACTTAATTAAAACTTAATTGCTCGAAGTTCTGTAGAGCAGTGCGCCGTAAATATCAGTACCAACAGGGTTTCGCTTTGCCCAAAAAGGCTTTGCTGAAATTTGTACAGAGAAAATGCTTAAATTGCAAACCATTTGGGGGTTGGACATAAAGAACGGTAACTGAAAATATAGTGGTAAGTTTTCCTGTGCTCATACAAAATGGACATACTACTTACCATAACAAACCAACAAAGAAATTATAAGTCTCGCGCTGTGCATTGTCTGGCAATTTGCTCTTTTTAAATTATTCAGAGGCAGGGCTTTTTTATGTCAGCAACTGTGTGTTTTCCAGTGACAAAGCTAGCCTCGCCTAACAGTTTCACTGCGTCTGCCGTTTTATGACTGACATAGCAATAAGCAGATTGTCCAGATATTTATGCCATCTGCAGGCAGGAGAGATAATTAAAGTATATAAATTAATCAACTGCAATTAATTAGAGGCTTTATGTTCACAGCAGTACATCTTTGCATGTATAATTTATATTTATTGATTTGTTTGGTTTCATTAGCCTATAAGATAACAGTGCAAATGCATTAGAGGGGAAAATGCACAATTAGCATGCGGTAAGGGCTGCCGGTAATTGATAGATCAGCGAGCACTGCCTGCAGATATAAAGCTGTGTAAACTGTCATAAGCAGTTACAATCGATGACTGATATTTCGCGCCATATCTCGCGCTTGATTAATGATGTTTTTGAAAGCGGCCCCCCCACTTAATGGGACCCTGATAGGCATGCAGAATTTACTGTTTAATCAGGGGAAAGAATTTATTGCGGTCCAGATCCTGTGTCGTTGCTGGTGGAAATGTATGATTGGTCTCTGTAAGTGCTATGCTGATGTTATTTGGTCCCGTCAGCAGCCAATATGGCTGGGCATTAAGAGCTTTGTGCTTCCCAGTTGATTTTTCATTGACTGTGCTGCCATCGTTCATCACTGGCTGGTTTCCCTTCTGCAGGGCTGGGAGGAGAGCAAGTTGGGAAGTCAATAGCGAGTAACGTATTCACAGCATTCCAGCATTTCCAACAGTGCTAACAGTGTGTAAACTGCACTCAAAATGAAAGACACTTGCTTAGTTCCCTGATAATGACGCTGTAATTATCTTGAGTTGCAGAGCAGA